TGTGTGTGTGTGTGTGTGTGTGTGTGTGTGTGTGTGTGTCCCAGGGGAATTTGCCTCTCTGTCTAAGTAAACAGATTGGGAATATATGTAAACAAACAGTGATGATGTTATCAACAGTTATAGGATCCCAGCTGCCTAAAGTGCAAAGGGGTCTGTTGTTAGCAGACCAGTTACTCTTAGTGAGGGACGCTTCTGTGCAAAGAATCTGTTCCATTGTGTCATCGTGTGTGTCTTCGCGCACACCAGGAGGACAGTGAGGCCGCCATGCTCTACAGGGTGGGGTCCCTTCGCTCTGAACCCCTGGGGTCACAGCTTCACCGCAGGGCCCAGTCTGACTGCCTGCAGAACCGGCTGCCAATCACACAGCACTTTGGGAAGGTAGGCTCCTCCCTCTGCTTATATCGTGACCACGCCCACCTCATAACTTACTCCATTTTCATTGTAAACCGAATCCAGCAACTATTAATGCAGAAAATAATTCCTGTGCATCTATGTCAATCTACTGTCTGTGCTGCATCACCATGCTGTCTGTATGTGCTGCATCACTATACTGCATCATTGTCTGACTGTTGCATCACTGTGCTGTCTGACTGTGCTGCATCACTGGGCTGTTTGACTGCTGCCTCAATGTACTGCATCACTGCACTGTCTGACTGCACTGTGTTCATCGCTTCTGATCTACCTCTTGTCACCTGTGTACCATTGCTTCTTATGTGTTATGTGGTTACTCCATGTTGCACCTTACCTTTTGCCCGTCTGGCTTGCACTGTGCCATGCTGTGCCGTGCAATGCTATGGCACGCCAGTCTCGCCCACGTCGCCCAAACCGCAGGAACATGAGCCCTACAGAGGAGTACAACCAGCTGGAGCCAGGTGGCACCTGGAGCTGCAGCTGGAATTCTGCCCTGGAGAATGGGTGAGTGTGCTGGGGAATGAACAGGAAGGCAGGATGGGACTGGGGCAGACAGAGGGACTCAGGAATGCGAAAAAGCATAGAAATGAGGGCAGATACTGAAGGTGACGGGAGTGACTGAGGTGGCAAAAAGCACAGATATTACTAAAGATAATGGGAGGAACTGGAGGAGGAAGAAAAATGTGCAGAAAATTTTTCACAAAGATGGCATGGGCCAGGAGATGATGAGGAGGAGCTGGAGGGGGAAAAATATTTAAAGGTTAGGGGTTTAGGAAAGGGTCAGGCAAAATGGAGATGTAAGGCTTTGTTTAACGTGAGGACTTGCAGAGTCTGAGTGCAAGTGTGTGCGTGTGTGGGCATCATTCAGTACACCAGATACTCAGCAGAGCGTGACAGATGGCGCCCAGCCAGATGATTTGGACAGCGAGCTGGTGCCAGACCCAGAGGAGATGGACCTCCTGGGGGAGATCTTTGACACCCTTAGCCTAAGGAGCTCCCATGATCGAGGTCTGATCTATGCCACCCGCAGCCTAGACCTCTTTGGCTCCGACACCACCGACTTCATCACACGGGTAGAGTATCTGAAGCGTGGAGGCCCAGAATGCATTGCCTGCGATGAAACCCTCACACGCAAAGGTACAGTCTAATGGTGGTCAGGCTTCTGAACTTTTCTGTGCTCATACTTGTTGCAGCACAAGATGACGACCCCAAGCCAGGAGAGTCTGAGCCCCTCCACTGGCAGGAGCGAGAGTTTGCAGAGCTGGGGGCAGGACGGGGACTTAGAGGAGGGGGAGGAGCATGAAATGGAGGAGGGGCAGGATGGGGACTTAGAGGAGGGGCTGGATAACAGTCTCGGGAAGATGGGGAAGGGAGATGAGCTTGCTGAGGGGACAGAATGGGAGGCTGCTCCTGCAGGCAGTTTGGGGGTCGCCTGGGAAACAGGCACCAGCACCGAGTGGTGTGAACCCTGCAGGGGGTGTGGGGAGGGACAGGACTCACTCTCAAAGCCAGAGACTTATCAAACGGAAGGCTGTCCCTTAGCGCAGGAAGTGGAGGCAGAGACCAGCAAAATCTCTGCAAGGATGCTGAAGCAGCCAGTCCCTCCAAGTCCACAGGGGGAGCCAGTCTCTTCAAGAGCACAGCAGGAGGAGCCAGTCACTCATGTTGTACAGGGGGAAGAGCCAGTACCTTCAAGTCCATGGGGGGAGGAGCCTGTCACTTCAAATGTACTGGGGGAGGAGCCAGTACCTTCCATCCCACAGGAAGAATCAGTCCCTCTAAGCCCACAGGGGGAGGAGCCAGTGTCCCCAATACCCAGGGTACAGGAGACAGTGGCTCTGTTCCAGGTAAAGGCCATGAAAAAGCCAGTTGATATGTGGAGAAACACCTGTAATGCTTCTCCCAATGGGAGGCCGGAGATGGCAGCCAACCTTGAGGCTGCCGATGATATGGCAGCACCAACCAGGAGTGAGACAGGGACTCTGGGGGAGAGTGAAAGCTTGCCTCTGCTCAAGGTGTCGGAGCTGAAGAAGAGGTTTGAGGCCTAACATTGTGCCTGTGGCCTGATCCCATAACCAAGGCCTGACACCACAACCAAGGCCTGACACCACAACCAAGGCCTGACATTGTGCCTGTGGCCTGATCCCATAACCAAGGCCTGACACCACAACCAAGGCCTGACACCACAACCAAGGCCTGACACCACAA